TAAGTTAAAACTCAGCAGCAATTTAACATGTTTGTCTGTGGATTAATGAATCGTCGTCATATTGGTACTATATACCTATAAGTGTATCATTGAAAAACTTGTAAAATCATATGGCAGCAAATGCATTAAGGAAATATACTGTTCTGTTACCAAAAACACAGAACTTTACAAATAATTTCCAGTAGCCTCAAATCCAAAAAAAAAACAAAAACAGATATTCATTAACTAAGTCAATCACTATTACATTAACAAGATATAAAGATGCATGTTATGTCAAATATTAATAAACTAGTAACATCAGAATGGCTACCAGTCAATGAGCTTTTCAAGCTACAATCTTGGACATAACTGGTTGAGACTATTTTCCCCCTATAGAAAATTCGCGTATTTTTATGATAAACTCCATGTTGAATCATGTTGCCATTCTTAAACCCCCGCTCCCCCAACTCAATGTTGAGCTCGTATCATGATATATTACCAAAAGTTTGTTTCGGCGTTGTTCACAACATTGAACTGGGGGGGAGGGGGAGACAAAGTTTGTTTTGTCAATGTTCAATAACTTTGTAATATTAGCTGGAATGGTCTCAGGGGTTTTGTCCAAGATTGTAGCTTGTTAAATATTTCACATCATCATGTTACACCAGACCAATGCGGTCGTCTATTAAAACAAGCCATGTCGATAGGCTATGGACAAACAATATTCCATAAGGCCGACATGTTGTGTGATCGATGCATAAATATAACGAAATCTTAAATAAAACTTCACTATAAACATGAGAATCAACAAATGCTTACATTGTGGACACTGAATATAACATATTTTAGCTTCTTGACGCGAGAATTATGCTAATACAGCATAGCGAATATTAAAATATCATATGTCAAACAATCTTTAAACAACAGCGATGGCTTTGGTACTCCGGTTTAATATAAACTAAAGATACATCACTATAAAACCATAAATTTCTCTACCTTATTGCAGTGCAAGCTTCGTCTTTCTTATCTCGAACATACTTCGGAATGTCGCTCTCTGTGCCAAAATTTCTAGCGAGGCTTCTGCTTGTGTTGTTGATGGCGCTCACTTCGCCGCTCAGTAGCTCGTTAATTTAACAGAATTCGTCCGTGAAGAATCGATATCCTTCTCAATAAGCTCCGTATACAAACGTTGTAGAGATTCCAAATGGTTTGCCGCAATCGCAAACTGAACATTGTGAAAATGTTTCCAGATATCGCTGGTAGAGATCGCTCGTAAAAATAGTAAAATTTCGTACATGCCAGACGTTCGAAATAGTAAACACTCATATACACCGAATGCCGTGTTGACGAATACCCCACGCTGCGAATCCGTCGAAAATATAAGCCAATGACAGTGCAGAATTTTTTTAAATGGTTCAATCAGAAGGCTCATACAGAGCCCCTGAATCTGCAAATCCGTCAGGCCTCCCCACAGATCCGTCGCAAATGGCCGTAACCATGGAAATGAGAGTGTCAGCCAATCAGATAGCCGGATTCAACCCCCGAATCCGTCAACATTCATGCGTAAGACCGCTGTTTGTGACTGACTAATATTACTTTGCCGAAGCTCTGCCGCAGCATGAAACGTATAACTGGATTACGATTCAAAATTTTAATAACTCGATTTACTGGCCGCTATAGATAGCTGGAGTCGAATTTTTTTAATTAAGTAGGCAATTTTTACTTCAGTCGCGCGACTGATTTGACGACCCCTAGATCCGCCCCTGCCTGGAACGGCGCTCCGCGCCGTTGGCTCGGGGATTATAGGTGAAAATCGGCAAAATTTTCATCCCGGTTTGGTGGAATAAAGGTCATAAAGCCTTCACATGGAAAATTTTATCTCACTTGACAACATTTTAACTAACCTAGACCACGAGAAGTCCCTCGCGAGAAACACTCCTACGCGTGCTTTAAATAGTACGTCATGTTTATTATAAAATCAACATTCAGTCTGGAAATTATTTATAGCATAATTACTACGTATCAGATTTGATAGAAATCTTGATTGAAATTTTGCGTTGTGTGAGCAACGCGTATTCCGTTTCTTGATGTGTTGTCGGCAGTCCCTTCTTTCCTTTCACGTGCTCGGAAATCTAAACCCGCGGAAAGAAGGGACACCTCGCAGTCTACGACTAACTAGGATAGCTCGTATCTCATACGATCACAAATTGGATTTTGTTAAACTCATTTTCTATATTTATTTTTATATAAAGGTTTACCTTATAAAAAATACCAGTTTAAACTGGTATTTTTTAACCTTTTCAGTTTTAAATAAGGCGTACTTTACTTGTACTCCATGATGCAACCTGTTTCTTTAATTTAACCAAGGCCATGCAGATCTCACCCAGGTGAGTTTCCCAGTTATAACTGGGCTTAGAGAGAAAAATCACTGTCAAGTATTTAATCTACCATTGATTGTAACCAAACGTAGGAAGTGATTATATAGGAAGATATCTGGTAAATAATGGAAAGCACTTCCACACTTCCTGCCTTCGCTTGAAATGTCGAAAATTCCTCATCTTTCTCAAGTAATTCGCCTAAACCTTAGTAGTTTTTTCAATTATTTATGGTACTATAGAATAGTTTTGTAGAACGAAATTATCGAGTTCAAATTTTATACAAGCGATTTTATACAGAAGGCCTATAGTTGCATTTTTCGTAACTGCTCCTGGTCAGGTCTAATAAATGTAAAAAATATTCCACCTACAAAGCACTTCTGCAATTAATTCTATCGAGTGGGATGCCCAAAATTGAATTCTAACTATTTTCCTACAACCTGCCCAAGAGCTGTGCAACTGAAAAATATATGATAGTTACCTTATCTTGCCCTTTATGCCCTTTGTACGTTTTAAAATTCACGCCATCGTCAGAATAAGCAATAGTGTAACTTCTAACCCATTGAGTTACATTCGAACGGCCTTGTGTGAGAATCTCTGTAACTGTTGCTTTATATTTGAAATCAATTTGCAGCCACGACTTGGTATCTGATGCCTTAGCAATCCAGCATCTATCCCCATGTAATCTGCCGTAACGTGGACCCCATCTTCCATCCCGCCATTCACTGGATGCTTTTATTCTTGAATCTGGGATCTTTCCACTCTGCATTCCTAACGCTTTAGGGTCTTTGCAAGCTGGAACGTAAAAATATTGGTATGGTTACATTTCTTGTGTGACTGCAAGATCAGACAATGCACTGTAACTTTTCATGTTAAAAACATTTACATTCCATTTCCAAATTATGCATTTTAATTACGAAAATGGAGACATAATATTCTAAAATATACCAGTGGCGTAACGCTCACCAGGTAGGGTTATTTCAAAAACTAAGGGCTCCCGACAGTTTGGGACCCCCATCAGTCACGGCCTATCGCCCAGAAAATTAGTAAACATGAAAAATGCAGGTTAATAATCAATGGGAAAATGCAAAATTATTAATTAACAATTATTCGGCTAAGGCGAAGTGATTACCGATGAATATTCACCGTAATCACTGAGCCTGAGGCGAATAATTGTTTTAGTATAAATTTTTAATGAATAAAACAAAATATCCGAATATCAGTTCAATTAAATTTCAGAAACAAAACTGTTTTCGCCCTGTTCACTAATAGTGTTGTAGTGTTTCTTGTATACGCACACGTTTTCAAAATAACTTCTTGTGTGACTTTATTGCTTTATTACAAAATTGTTTTTCTCGATTCCTGCATGGAACATAAATACAATAATGGAATGACTCTTTCACCAGACTTGGAATTAAAAATAGTTTCCGTTTAGCATTAATTTCTTCGGGAAATGGCTGAGGAAATTGGTAAAATCAGAACGCGCGATAGCTCATTTAATATATAAAATTTGTACTAATGCTAAATAATAAAGCCTCCATCAACACGGTAACTGATTTTGTTATTCCATCTCAAATATAACAAACGTTATTCTTATTAGGGGCCGATTACATGGAGCATTTTCAACCCCGGTGTTGAACTCAGCCCTGTTGACAGGGTTGAAATTTCAGCCCTGTCTGTATAATACAAAACTCCATCAAATGAAACGCGCGATTACACGACAAAATTTTTCACACAAACCCAGGGCCGAGTTCAATCCCTGATTCAGCTAGCAGGGTTGAGATTTCAACCCCAGGCTCAACTTGGCCCAGGGTTGAAAATTTTCTAGCATGCGTTGTAGTGATTATTTATTACAAGAAAACAAAATGGAGGCTATGGAGCCGTTTTTTACATTTGGAAATCAATGCCGGGAACGTATAGCATTTCAATCCCGGGGTGGAAATCATCCATGTAGTTGAAAAAAATTAAACCCGGTTAACAGGGCTGAGTTCAACCCCGGGGTTGAAATCGTCCCCTCAGTTGTGTTGGAGACTGTTGTTGTTATATAGACACGGAATTTTCCAGAACATTCTATAAATATTCAATATAGCTAAATATAATATCTCAGTCTAACAATAACAATAACAATAGTCAACAGAGGCCCCCATACCAAATATGCCTAAGGGCCCCCTCTGCCTCTGTGTAATTACGTAGTTTCACCCAACAGCAGGTTTAATAGCACAACTAACGGGTAGCCCGCCCATTAGTCGTGCGCTCATCAGACGAGCACGACTAAATTATAAATTCCAACGCATTCTATTGGTTAGATGGCCTCTCTCGCATGCGTAACACGCAGAATTTTTTCACTCCCATTTCTTGCAAGTAATTCGCTGGCGATTTCCTCGATGACTTATGATTAAAAAATAGACTTTGGTGTGGCCATCAGCGTGAGAGTCAAGAGGGACGCGGGGGCCGTGTTCACCAATTTGTCCCGGGGACCATGGTTGCCTCTCGCCAGCCTTGTGTAATTGAGGATCAAATTGATAAGAAAATAAGGGACTGTCAGTTCTTTAGCATCCAATGTTATGAAACATTGGATGTGTCCACCAAAGAGCAACTTAGCATCATTCTTCGTTTAGATAGGTGGGTGAGGTAGTGGAAAGGTTTTCAATGTTTAGTAATGTCAGCACAGATCGCACTGCCCGAGCGATATGTGATGCTGTTAAACGGTTGCTTAGCAAATATGGTGAATCAGTTAAAGCTAAACTGATTATGCAAACTTATGATGGTGCAGCTGTTATGAGTGCTCATCTCAATGACGTCCAGACCCTCGTCCGTCAAGATTACGCATTTGCATTTTTCTTTCACTGTGGCGCCCACCGCTTAAACCTAGTCTTGTGTCAATCTGCATTGAATATCAAGGAGGTGAAGCTCTTTTTCTCCAAAATATCTGCTTTTTGTACCTTTAATAAGCCCAGCTCTGATAGAAAGGCACATCTAAATTCCCATGGTGTTGATATCCCAAATCCAGGTGAAACTAGGTGGTAATATAAGTCCCGTACTGTCTCTGCTATCTTTAAGAGGTATGACGCCTTAGAGAGAGCTTTGATTCAAATTAAAGATGCACCTCGAAATGTAAGGAAGATACAGTTGATCGGGCAGATGGTCTACTCCACAGTCTCCTAGAATCCTTTTCTGCTTTTTATTAGAGCTTTACAACAAAATTTGGAAAAGTTCTCAATCTTATACAATGTTCTCCAAAATTTTGTAGATTTTCTCAAAAATGATCATTGCAATGATACTGCCTTTGAAACCTGCTATGCAGCTGCTGAGAATCGAGTTGGTGTCCCATTCCGAAGATCAGAGCAAATTATTAATTATAAGCTGCTTTATTGTGAAGTGATTGACACCATTGTTGGTATGGTCAATAATCGGTTTCAAGATGATGACAGCTTCTCGTTTCTTGATTTGTTGAAAGTTAACCCCAAAATTTTTACTAAGTGGCAAAGTGGTGTTCCAGCTGACAAGTTGCAGCTGTTAAGAGAGAAATATGGGCCACTTTTTGATATTTCTAGTCTCGAAAGCCAACTGATGTTTATTTACAAAGATCATAGTTTTTAAAGGATAATCCAATGGAACTTTTACAATATATTTGCCAGATGAATATTCAGGGATGTATTCCGGAATTTGTCAAGTTACTGAAATTAAATGCAGTATTACGGTATCGAGTGCATCTGCTGAAAGATTCTTTTCATGTTTGGATAGAATAAAGTCCTTTCTTCGTAGCACAATGAGTGATGGACGACTTGGCGCATTATGCAGGATATCTACCCATAAAGACATACTCAGGGAGAAAGAAGATCAGAAGCAGCTCCACAAGTTGGTTTTGGAAAAGTTTACTGAAAAGCGGAGACGTCTTAATTTTCAGTTTAGGTAAATACTACATCCAAATTTGAATGACTATAGTATAACATATTTCAAATATCTCGTGTATAAGTTTTGCCTCCAATATGTGCACTCTTTAATGATCTGCACATTCTGTCATGTTTAAATATACCTCTGCAACTATACCAAGCACATATTCAAATACATCCCTAATGTGCTCTTTTATTATTAGTTTTAATTTGGATAGCTTTTATTTCTTTTATTTATCAAGTAATATCCAGCGCGTTGTCACACAAGAGCACGCGAGTTGACTTTGTGACTGACACTTATCAATATCATATGACACTAGGAATAGAGCGTACCAGACGAGCCGGCAAAGGGTCAGAAGTTATAAAGATTTATGGAAAGACCCAGAAAACACCAAGTCAATTCAAGAAGTTTCTTGCTCATGGATCTAACAAGGAACATCTTGTTGAGTTTCTTTTCAAAACCTGGCAAGATCTCTATCTTCGAACGAATATCAAATTGATCATCTCGCATGGGATTCACTGTCATCAACTCACGTGGGATACTCATGGAAAATGTCATGTCGAAGATGTTGAGGGATTGATTTCAGACCACGAAGAAGCAGAGACTCGTCTCCTGCTACACGCCAAGAACGCCAGTGACACGGGTGAGCATTCTTCTGTGGTTATTAGAAGTCCAGATACTGATGTCGCCATCAGTTGTCTAAGGTTTTCTGTAGCCGTACCACATCTATACTTCCAAACTGGAAAGTGAAATTTACAACGCATCATTTCTATTGATTCAATGGTTCAAGCATTAGGAACAGATGTCTGTAGAAGTCTTATTGGTCTGCATGTTTATAGTGGTTGCGACTCGACAAGTGCATTTTACGGTAAAGGAAAGAAGAAGGCGTACGATGTAATGAAATCAGATGCAAAGTTCATTGAATGCTTTGCTGGTCTCGGCGAGTCATTCACAGCATCCCCAGAGCTTGTGGAAGTCTTGGAGGAATTCACTTGCAAGTTGTATAGTGATTCATCAGAGGAAATAGATGTTTGCAGGTACAAGCTAATAGCCGTAGCGTCATAGACATGTGTAACTAAGTGAAGTCTAGTGGTCATTGCCCGTTGTTTTCTTGTCCGTTGTTTATCATTTGTAAATGTAACTGTTATATTCGTGTTTATCTCGTCATTGGCAACATTTTGATATATAATTCACAAAGCTTTGTGGATATTTTCATGTTTTTATTGATATTTTTGAAATTGTAGCGTATAAAAAGCCAGCTGGCCAGGCAGTAAATAATTTTGAGGCCTTTAAATACGCTACAATTTCCAAAATATCAATAAAAACATGAAATGATTCACAAAGCTTCATAAATTATATATCAAAATGTTGCCAATGACGAGATAAACACGAATATAACAGTTACATTTACAAATGATAAACAACGAACAAGAAAACAAGTAAACAACAGGCAAAGGCCACTAGCTAGACTTAGTAACATTGACATTGAGTCATTGACCTTAGCCCTTAGTAAATGTTTCAACGGAAAAACAATTACCGGAAATTAAAGCGCTGAAACGCTAGTTTGAAATCCGCAATGGAAGGCCTGCTTTCGCATAAACACATTCACATGCACAAAATAAATAATTTAATTATAAAAGTTCATATCCTAGATAATTTATAAATTGTTATCCCTTATTATATTTGCCAAAACAGCAATAGTCTATCACATTTGCCAGACATAATTATTGCAACTAATGGAAATTGTATGGATTGTCAGTTGTAAATTTACCACTGATGAAATCTACCCATAACTTATAGTCATTGCGTATATGATTAATAATACTCTGCAATTATTAACTGTTTTAACTACTACAGCTCGTAGCATGCTTTTAGGAGGGGTAGGCCTACTTCTTTTCAAGATTTAGCTGGGGGTACGTCATTCATGAGTTCAAATTCATTATTTTTGTTCAATTTATCCTTTTTTATGATCTCTGTCTTACAAACAAATTTTTTTAAAGGTGTAGGGAGGAGAGACAGGCAGAGGAATCGAACATGATGCCACAGAGTACATATACAAATCAAAATCCGATTCCTTGTCCGAACCTTTGATGTTTTCGCAACTGCCGCCATGTCCCTAGCCAGTGCAGTGAGGAGAGTCTTTCTCCAGAAAAAAAAATGTCAGGCGTTCAAAGGGGGAGGGGGGAACGCCTCTCATTAGCGCACTGGCTAGGGAACATGGCGACTGCATAACAGCTGCATGGTGGCTGGATACAGTCAACATTTTGCGCAGATACATGCACGCCTAGCGTGCCTATTTTTACTATTTCTAGGGGGAACGGCTTCTGTTTACGTTACTTGCTGAGTGGCGAATCATGACGAATAACGCTTACGCAAAAAACAATGGAGATGGACTTCTGTGTAGTATTCTGTGCTATGGGTACGAGATTGTCTCGCGCGTTGAATTTACTATAGCCTGCGTAGCGGCTCTCAGGGAAAGGACAGCTTGCACGAAACCCCATGCTTTTCCATATTTACTCGTTCTCCCAGAGGACAAGAAATCTGATTGGTTCAAAATGAAAAATATGCTAATTTATGCTAAAATTATGGACAACACGGCGGATGCATTATTGAGAGGTATTTCTTTGAGTTTTGCATTCAAAAGGGCTTGAAGGCCACGATTTACGGTTGAACAATAAAGGTATTTGCCAACTTTGGACATGAAGCTCTGGAGATATTGGCTGTGGTGTCCCCGTTGGATTGCTGTCTGTTGGCAGCGTCTCTTTGCGAGCGTGTTCGTTTTCATCGACGACAAATTTTTTCTTCATGATTTTGTAGCTAAAAATTTTGTGCCAGGGGAGAATTGCTGTGAATGCTTATGTCTTATGAAGAGGACTTCTTCTCTCTGGAGTGACGGCTTCAGATACTTTTCTCTTCCCTGCATCGCTCGAAACTTTAACATTTAATACATTTTGACCGCTGTCGAAACTAATTATATTTGTACGTATTTCTTAGCTTTCTCGCACACCGACTGCAAACTTTGCTACTTGTGATGAAGATGGAGATTGTCCTAGGCCTACCGCTATTCCAACAGACTTCAATTTTCTTTAGCCGGCATCCGTATGTTATTTTGTTTTGAAATTTGCAAACATAAAGCAATCTATATAATTTCTTTTTCACGAGTAATTTTGCAAATGTACACAATCTGTATGATTGGCCAATTTTGACATTGTTGAAAGTGGGCGTATAGCTCGCAGGTTAAGTGGGCGGAAATGCGGGCAAAACAGTAGATCTCGTGCAGGCTCTCCTTTCCCTTAGAGCCGCTATGCAGGCTATTTTTACAAGAAATATGGAGATTTCTGGACAAAAAATAAACACTTATAAGCCATTTTATATATTAATATATCGATTTATACTTATATGTTAAAAATTCACATTATGTTATTTGAAACGTTCATTATATTTGTAATACTTTTAAACTGCCAAAAGTATTCTGTCATTTTGCTATCTGAACCTAATACTTCATGAATACAATTTCATCCCGGGGGTGGGGAATTTTTTTATGTAAAAATATCAAATCACCAACCTTTGTCCGAAACCCTCGGGGTTAACATTGATAGGTGCATTTAATAAAATGGACGATATTAACACTCACTGCAATTTCATGCATACCAGCTTGCATTAAAGTGAATTATCGACTTAAAAATGGCTTAAAAATTCGCAGATATGAATAAAACCGACAACACAAAGCCAAACCGGCACAACAACGATTAAACTATCAAAGTCATCAAAACAATTATTATCGACAGATCTTGCAAAACAAGTATGATCGACAAACATCAAAACAATCATTATCGACAAACTTTGTTTGACGGTTGTACAGCCACTATTTCATGAAACTACAGGCTTATTTCCAGTTAGACAGAACTTGCACTCGAAATTTAAGATTGCACTCGATTGATAACGTCGAAACCCAGTGGCGTAGCCAGAACGATAATTGGGGGGGGGGGGTATATTCATATATTCGTGTTCACATACCATAAAAACAATTGATTTCGAAAGAAATTAATAAAACAGAGCGCGAATATATGAATATGCCCCCCCCCTCAATTATCGTGCTGGCTACGCCACTGCGAAAAACGTCCATGACATAAACAAAATGGAGGACAACTTTGCACTCCGCTATGTTTTCACATACCAGGGTATATTTAGCCGTGCGGAATTAGTACCTTCGCATGGCCCTTCGCGCCGTCGGCTGGGGGACCAACCGCCCAAAGGCCGAAGTGAGATTTTAACCGAGCCACAAAAATCTCTTGGCACCCTATACCAAGGCCAGAGATTATTGGACCAATATAGGGTCCCAATGTTTTTGCCCACTTTTTGAATGTATTACACACAGCTTTTGCAAATTTACAATTTGCCTTCTAGGCTAATTATGTCGACCGTAATAATTCCAGCAATTGATATGGTAACAGCGGACATTCCAACCTTGTGTTCCTGATAATAACGTCTTCCGACCTTGTGTTCCTGATAATAACGTCTTCCTGTTCTTCTCTACTTTCTTCCAACTATTTTTGTGCTACAGTTCTGTACCCAGCTTCCCTAAGATAAATTACTTTTTCCCGAAGAGTGCTTGGGTACTTGCATGTCATTGGCAAAACACTGAAAACTGTATTTCTTCTACCAAAAGAGTTGAAATTCCTTTCAATTGCTAGTTAACTAGGTTACAGTGAACTTGCACAAAGTTAAGTCCCAAATTTATGTCAAATGCGCTTTCGCTGACAACTGTTCACTTGCCGTAGGCCTGAGTACATCATCTAGGTAATCGTGATTATAGCCTAGTTGGCACAGTTTTCGCTCATGTGGAAGTCTGAATCCGAGCCTTTTGCTATTTCGCATTTGGCGTCGAGAGTTAATGCTGATGTTTCGAATTTCGACCATGTCTTTCATTTGTTGAAATGAGTGGTAACCAGGCATTGCTATTATCGTACCCTTGCTGTCTTTTGCTAATATGAGTAATTCACCGATGTTTTGTACTCTCAGCAGTAGGTGCAGTCAGCATCTAGAAGTTGGGTAAATAGCAAGTTTTTACCACAAGACGGATCAACACTTGCAACATGTGATTTGAATATGGGGGGCTTTAAAATTGTCGGGTTGAAAGCCACCTGTTATTAACGATGCTGTAACCAAATAATAATGTAGTGCCAAGTTATTTCTTGTTTTTAGCACCAACGATTTAGACTCCTGACACTTCTTGCAAACCCAGTCCATCTTCCATCCCAGCCTCTCTAACGATTTAAATAAAGACATTCAAATATATAGACATTTGTTCTCTACCAAACAAGCATACAGCTCGGTTAAAAACATTTTGTTGAGTTTATCCATTTATTTAAAAGTACAACAGTAAAACAGTATCTTCCAGCAACAGAAACTCTGTTAACCGAGTATGTTGTCTATTTGGCAAAAGTATAAAATGTGCTTCGATAAAAAAATACCTGGCAGTAGTTCGTCACTACTACATGTGTCAATTATGTTTTCAGTTAAACTTTTCAAAACTGTCTCGTCTTCAACTGGTCGGTCCGACCAGACCTTATGAATCGATCCCGAGGAGGCTAAATTAGAATACGTCTACCAATGACAATTCATCAACTGCAGTCGTTTCATATGTCACTTTCCATATCATCTACACAAAACCATGATTCACTAATGATCTGGGCTTCAATGACATTGGCATTCTTTGGCTTCCTTCGGCTTGGAGAACTAACTTGTAATTCCATTCAATCCTGAAACACACCTTACACCTGACACCTGACAATGTGTTGCTAACATAAGGTCCATGCCCAGAATCAATGACTTTCTTGATTAGAGTGTCCAAAACTGACCCCTTTCTGGTGAGTCAGAAATTTATAATTGGAGCATCTAATTCTCAACTGTATCCAGTCTTAGCCATGGAGACCTTTCAAGGTAAACATCATGCAGGGGTCCATTATTTCCTCACATTCAGAAACAAATTAAACAATCACATTGAGACAGGATCTGTTCTAACTAAGTTTGGCTTGAATGTGGCGCTCCATGAAAGTCATTGCTACCGTGATGAGACTGCAACAACAAAAACGCTAGCAGCTAAACTTCCTCTTAGTTCATGAAAACCTTAGGACGTTGGGTATCAATCTGCTATGAATGATACAAAATTAATTCTGCAACTCTATCAGCTAGGAGTTGCAACCACTCTAACAGATATGCTAAATAAATAGCAACGTACACTCTTATACATATATTTTATAAATATTGGCTCATTGACTCAATATACGTCACACGTATACCATATCTAAATCTAAGGGACTGGCCATAATGGTCTAGTGCCCTAGGTCATGTTAAGAACTGCCCACAGGAGTTTTGCGCTCCTTTGCCAGGACTGTGAAGTGTTAAAACTGTGAAGTAGTGGTCCTTGGTCAGGTTCATCAGGGACTAGCCAGTCCCGTGACAAGGCTCTGCATACAGGGCATTCAGTTCAGAATCAGTGCGGCTTACTAGCTTAGGATGTGACGTGAGTAAGAAAGATGCTTGTCATAATACGATTGGAGTCTCCAACTCCATGCGGAACCTCTACTTCCACAAAAGAAGATGTTGTGTTGAATTGTGTTTTCAATTGGATCGTAATTAACAGCTTGGGTCATTAAATAGGTATTGATAAAACCGGCATTATTTAATGCGTTGGAAGTCTTTCGTGGTAACAATGTCTTCATCAAATCACCTGGCTGACTTGTCAACAGACGAAAAATTTAATCGACCTATGGAACATATGTTTAAGTGATCAATGGCCTTTTAAATAAATAGAAGAACTTGACTTCACTTTTGGAGATTCTTTCGACCTCCCGATGAGGGGATTAACTCTTTCAACGTGCAATAACCACATATCTACTTATAATGTTTGAGACAAACACTTGCTTACTAACATTGATAACGTTATTCAAAAACTATCTTGCAAATGAAATTTCGCGAGACATACCTAATAACAGCAGTAGCGATTAACAACAAAACAACAACATTTTTCTATTTTTACAGATAAGGACTATAGTGGAGAAGTTTGATTCCTTCAAATGTCTGTTGGAATCATTAAAACATTCATTTTGGGTAAGCAGTTTTTAAACTTAAGGTTTTTTTTCTGTTAAATTAAAACAGAAATTTGGCTTGATAATCAAAATTGCACGAATTTTAAATTAAATCATTTCAGCTTTGTTAGGTACAAACAGAAGCGAAAAAAGCCGGAAGGGTTGGAATGTTTATTTCCAATGATTCAAATTTCGTCCAGCCTTAATTAATATTAACGAGTTTAATCCAATCGCTCTTAGGATATTTCATACCTGTGCAATAGTTTCCATCGCCATGATAACCATTGTGACATTCACAATCGTATGAGTCAATGGTATCCACACATTTCGCATTTTCATGGCATGAGTCTATGCGCCGAGAACACTCGTCAATATCTAAAATATTTAAAACGGTGCTATTTTTACTTCAGTTGTAGTTGTATAGGCTAGTAAACTTTGCCAAACGAAGTACATCTTAAAACTTTCCCAGGTCCAATAGATAATCATCGAGGAAAATTAAACATCCAAGAAACAAATATCTGGGAACAAGGGCGAATTTCGTTTTTGACCAATTAGAGCATTTGTTTACCTTTTGGCGCTAAGCCAATCAGAACGCGTACATTGTTACTACTTCCGGTTTAGACGCGTATTTCAACACGAAAATTACGGTTGTAAATAAAGCCTTGGGGGTCTGGTTTTTTAATTTTTTGGACTTATTTCAATGAAATCCTATAAAATATAAAATTTTCGAAAAATTTGCCGCTGGGATTTGCGTCTCATCGCTTAGTTTTGAAATTATCCGCATTAAAAAAACGGCGTATGCAAGGTCACTCTCGCCGTAGGTCAAAAACGTGTTATGATTCTAAAGGAAGTGAAGCAAAAGCATATATCCGGAAATATTTAAGAGTGGCTCGAGGCATTTGAGAAAGAAGGCATGTTCACTGCGATTTTGGAGTTAAATTTTCTGGCAATCGGTCACTACACGACTATAACTTTGCCAGCAGTGGCCATAAAGCACTGAAGCAAAGTAGAAGAATCGCCGTTTATGACTGCCTCGTTGGCCCAAGCTTTCTGGTTTTGACTTGAGAGAATATTTGCAAATCGGGCAAGCACTGACGTCTGGTAGGTTACTCTCGAGGTGGAAAGAGTGTCTACAGCCTCGAACAATGCGACACAAAGGACTATCACGACTGCATTCGATCATTTGTTTTTTAGATCAATGCATTCGATTATATCACATTTGCTGTATCAATGGAAATTGAAGGTATATACCTTATATATTTCACATATAAACATATACATTTCATGCTTATGATTCATATACATTTTATTATTATAATTACACATTTTGAAATTCTGAAATCCAACAATCTTTGCCACCAAAGTTTATTACTTTTCTGACACCTGTGGGTGGGGGAATTGATCTTTATTTGACCGGAATATTTACCCCCACCTACAGGAATTTGACTGTTTTTCTTGTCATTTTTCAAAACCCTCCCCCACCACAGGATTTCCATTGATATGTGCATTACTGTCAGGAATGCATGGGCAAAACAAGTAGACAAGAAAAGAGGAAACTAGAAAATTTGTTTGGATGCATGGTTGTCACCCAGTGGCGTAGCCAGGGTTTACAAAGTGTGGGGGGGGGGGGGAGGTGGCTTGAGCGGCAAAGGCACGGACACTGTAGGGGGTCAAAATTCAAAATTCAGAGGCTCTGAATTTTGAAATTCAGAGAATCTGAAATGCCATTTTATTTGTACATTTTGGGGCGAGATTTTACAAAATTCAGAAAATTATAACATAATTTGGTAGTCAAGTATACCTGTGTCTTCACTTATTAGATTGTGAATAATAAGCTGGCCATGAAATCAGATAAGTGTTACCCCTCCCCCCCCCCAGTTTCTCAACGGATTTAAACATATCTCGAACTTAGTTCTGTGGAGTGTGGGGGGGGGCTCATCCCACCAGTCCCTCCCCCCTGTTGTCACCACCAACCGAGTTGTTCCATTGGGCTTTTCATCAGTGGAAAGACCTCCTAATCCAACAAAAAAAGTTCAGTATAATTATACTGCATCACTATCAAGATTTTAAAATGCTTTAGTAAATAGTTTTTGATTTCATGGTCATAAAAATATACAGTGGCCTTACTGTTTTCTATACAATTATATAAAACATATGGGAAAAACTGCGTTCAAAAGCAAATAAGTAACCTTCTGTTGACTGACAATCTGGTGCTTGAAAAAATATGAATCTTTTAATATATTAATTGACAGCCTGTAAAATGTATATGAATCATAAGCATGAAATGTATATGTTTATATGTGAAATATATAAGGTATATACCTTCAATTTCCATTGATACAGCAAATGTGATAAAATCGAATGCATTGATCTAAAAATCAGTGATCGAATGCAGTCGTGATAGTACTTTGTGTCGCATTTTTCGAGGCTGTAGACACTCTTTCCACCTCGAGTGTAACTTACCAGACATCAGTGCTTGTCCGATTTGCAAATATTCTCTCAAGTCAAAACCAGAAAGCTTGGGCCAACGAGGCAGTCATAAACGGCGATTCTTCTACTTTGCTTCAGTGCTATATGGCCACTGCTGGCAAAATTATAGTGGTGTAGTGACCGATTGCCAGAAAATTTAACTCCAAAATCGCAGTGAAAATGCCTTCTTTCTCAAATGCCTCGAGCCACTCTTAAATATTTCCGGATATATCCTTTTGCTTCACTTCCTTTAAAACTGATTGGCTTAGCGCCAAAAGGTAAACAAATGCTCTGATTGGTCAAAAACGAAATTCGCCCTTGCTATATCTGGGCAAAACGAAGTAAACGATACAAAAAATAGGACCTATTTGAATCTGCCGTTATATGCTAAAGCATATAAAGCATATAACAGCAGATTCAAATAGGTCCTATTTTTATATATCATCCCCGAGGCAACGGCGCCGTGCGATGGTACTAATTCCGGGCGGCTATTTAACCCCGGGGAGACGAAGGCATTAGCGGAGTCTATAAAGTTCATCAATAAACTAACCATCTAAGCTGAATATCTTGAGAACGAAACAAGATATTGAAAAACGCCGTGCTAGTTTATTTCGAAGTAATGTTTAACTAAGATCTGAATTGGGGAGATGATTTTTTCGTCACAGGAGCACTTTAAATGCTATTAATGTACACAAGTGGACTGCCCTGCCTTTACACAAGAGGCAAAACACTTGAGTTATTAGTTCTGACTATAGTACATATTAGATTTACACAGTGGCGTAGCCAGCCCGAGAATTTGGTAATGCTATGCAAATATTTCCGTATTCATAAACCGTGAAAACAATCAATTTCTAAAGAAATGAATAATGATAATAATTTGAAATTTGCATAGCATGACCAAATTGTCGGGCTGGCTACGCCACTGGCTTTACAATCACTTTCAGAAGTTGTTGGGACACATGTAATTTTGCTTGTAAGTGGATCATTACATTTTTTATAAACAATACCGCTCCCGTCCCCCTCTCCTCCCCCACCCCAATCAATGTTGTTTAAACCAAAACTCATCAAACCCGACGAGAAATGGGACACAACATTGAACAGTGTGTGGGGGAGTGGATGTCGTTTGTTGAAATTTAACGGTTTTGTGGCATCTGTCCCAAGACTTTCGAAACTGATTGTAGTATATTTTTAGTTAGTAATCACAATCTCTTGTTTATATC